AAGTCAATGCCTAAAACCCATCAAACTACAATGGGAGAAGCGCTAAACGCCTTAAAAATTATAATGTACTAAATATAAATACATGTTTTAGGGCCAAGCCACCGGGATTTTTTAACTACTTTTTTATATAAACAAATAAATGCATATTTGACCTCCGTATGACCTGATGCAAAAAAATACGATTAGGTCGACGAATAGGTACACATCTAAATAATGCCTATTCACTCTCGCATTGAAAACTCAAGCTATAGCGTTCAGGGATCACATAATAAATAAATATTTAGCTTTACCTACTTACTATGGGATCAGAGCAACTTTGGGATGTTGTCTAATATTTATTTTTCTTTTTATTTATATTAGACAACATTTGGTCTGACGCCAAACGATGTAACTAAAGCTAAATATTTTGTTATGGAAATCGAAAACAACAACGATACCACAACCACTCAGACACCGGGCAATATAGAAAATTTCATTTGTACATTGAACCGGCCGGGGATTGAACCCGGGACCTCAGAGATTGCGGTATTCATATACCGATGTGCAAGCCATTCGACGAATTCCGCTCCGTAGCCGTCCACCTCCAAATACTGTACTTAACATAGTTAAATGCTAAGTATGGCCCAAGCAACGAAACAAAAAAAAGGTTCGAACGATTTGTTCCACGTCCTCCGATCGGAACTCCGATTGATAGGAGTGAAAAAATTTTTTCCAATGCTTCCGATTGAATGTTTTTTTTTATAACTTAGTATATTTCGCCAAAAGTACAGTCAATAAAAATAATGTATACCTAAATAGTAAATTGTGAAATTGGAATTTACATCTCTTGTAGTAAGTACTTTTGATTTCTTACTACGTAATCCTTCGGGATTTTCTCTTCAGAAATGCTGTAAATTTTTTGTACGTCTACTTTTCCCATCGGTCCACTTGTGTTTCCCGATTCGTCTACTTCCCATTTCATATACTTTCCTGATTGTTCTACTTTCCCGTTTGGTCCACTTTTCAGGTTAGTCTACAGTGAAACATAACCTTTTTTTATAATATCAAGTGACGGGACGAACAAGTCGTACGCCTGATGGTAAGCTGCACCGTCCATAACAGTTGTAATGCCACTCAGAGCTTTTAATCGCAAAGATCTGAAGTGACTTGCCACAGCGCCCGTCACCCTGGGACATAAGTTGACAAGTTCCATGTGCTTGTAATATGACCAGTACCCTTAACCTTCAAAACCGGAACACAACAATGCTGCATTACTGCTTGGCGGCAGAAATAGGTAAGGTGGCAGTACTTCTCTGGACGAACTCTTTCACAAGGAGCTCTACTGCTACTAAACACTGATACTACCTTTATACAAAAGAATATTACCTACACACTTCTGCGTACTTGAATGATAAAAATCCATGGTAATGAAACGTTTAGCTCTTTCAGTTTGTTATGTATTATATTTTAAATATATGTTATGAAATGTAAACAAATGTCTGTTTACTAAAAACGGCCCGTAGAGTTTCATGTTCATTTATCTCGGGGAATGTCTCTTACGAACAAATAGTAATGTTTATTGAGTTCGACAATTTCTAATATGCCCAAGTATGTAAAAAATAATTATGACTTTACCGACCTACAAAATCTGTGGAATTACAGCTATTGTCCGATTTTTATTGCAATCGGTTAACGAAAAGTGGGTGAAATCCAATAAACAGATATTCATCCCCTAATTTGCCACCCTTGGAAGTGGAATATTTTTTCAAATTTGAATGGGACCGCTACTGAGACTCCAACAAAATTAGAATCAATGAAATCTGTTCACGAATATCATGTCATATCAGTATCACGTAACATGCACACACGGAAAATCGAATTGATAACCTCCTCCTTTTTTCAAGTCGGTTAAAAATAGACTCTAATATCAATGATCACCGTATGTAAACTTCCGCTTGATTTATACATAAACTATGAAATTTAAATTTTAAATTTTAAAATCTCGTAAATTTCCATTTAAATCTGCCGCCACCTTATAATTTTATAAAACATAATAAAACCTTAGCAAAAATCACAAATTCCTTATATTGCATCGACATATTGACCTTTATTATTTCAACGAACATCAAAATATAAATTGCCTTACCTGCACGCAGCACAACCACAACACAAGTGCAATAAACGTTCTGATCGATCGCTAGTGCTGCTCGACGCCCGCATAGTACCTATATCTTGTTTAGCATTTAAAATGTCCACAGTCCTCGTACAAAAGATTTTGTAGGCCAATATAAATCCGGAATTAAAATAACAACATATTTTTTACTATTACGAAAAGCAATAAAATTCTGATAAAAGCCTTTAACCTTTGGTGTTGGACCCATTTCTTCATTCATGCCTTCCAAAGAACCGGACCGTTTTGCCAGAGAAAGTCTTGTGTAAAGTTAAAGGTAAAAATAAAACCATAACATACCAAGAATAATAACGAATCGTGTTGTATTTTTAAGATATAGGCGGCAAGTTCAAATGATTACAAATATTTTTTCCAGTATTTCTTACCTATTTCTGCCGCCAAGCAGTAAAGTGACCATTACTGCGTTCCGGCTTTGAAGGGTAAGGGTGCTGGTGAAATTACAGGCCCATGGGACTTGTCAACTTTACTTATATCTCAGGGTGACAGGCGCAGTGGCAGTGCCACTCAGATCTTTGCGATTAGAAGTTCTAAATGCAACTGCAACTGTTATAGACAGGCGTGCAGCTTACCACCGAGTCACACGACTTGCTATGTAGTCACAATTTTACGAGGAGAAGCTTATTTATATTGTTTTGATTATGTTGTACAGTAGAAAAATGAGCTTCATTTACAAACTCTCAAAGTGAAAGCTTAACTAATATGAAATATCGGACGATTTAGCAAACGATACATCTTATGTAAGTCAGAGCAATTCCTTCGCCGAGTGGAAATGATCGATAGGATCAGGCGCTGCGTCGGAAAAATACTTTATTCAAGTTGTATTACACGGATTATGACTTCTCAATATTTGGAATATTTTGTTTGCGTATTATATCGTTCCTCTCCTGACTCTTAATAGTTAAGGTAAATGTTTCAAGGTTTTTTTATGACACTAACTGACGGGACAAACATGTCGTGCGCCTGGTGGTAAAGTGACACGCTGTCCATGTCAGTTTCAGTGCCACTCAGAGCTTTAAATCGCAAAGATCTGAGGGTCAATGCCACCGTGCCCGTCACCCTAAGACATAAGTTCACTTAAGTAATTAATGAATTCTGGCGTTACTTTGCGGAACTCCATGTTAATAAAAATAGAAGTAAATTCATTTGCTACTCTGTGAACCCAGTGTTGAACATTTTTTCATGCAGTTAATTATCCCACTCTCTCTCCGCATTAAAATTTCTGCGTTAAAACTTTCCCCTGTAAAGTTGGGATTTTGGTATTACAATGTTTTACTTAGGAGGGATCGATAACATACCTACCTAATTCGTTTCATGTAGTTCGTATTATTTTTTTAAGGCTTTTATGTATTAAAAAAATCTTTTGACGTATATTCAGATGTGGTTTTATTATTTGTGTGGTCTGTCATATCGTTCGAGGGTTTTAAGCATGCAACATCCAACATCTGGAGTGATTTACCACCACCGTTGCGTGAAAGTATGTCCCAGAAAATTGTTAAGTCCAAACTGAGGAAAATATTTTTAACAGCACAGAAGAAGGATGCTGAAGTACCCCAGGGTCATCAAAATATGTTGTAAATTTCAGGCATATTTCGTATTTCTTTGGGATAACTGTTGCTGTTTATTTTTTTTTTTTGTTTCCCTTCGAACATTTTTTTTATTATTTTTTGTTTATTGGAGATATTATTTTCTGTTTTAAAATTGACAATTCATATCAGTTTTTACTGTGTAAGTAATTTTTTTTTGTTTTCTTTTCTACTTAGCGTGAAAGTAGATAGCTTAATTAATGGTCTGTTATACATACGTGAGACCGAAGCTCCTTACAGGGAGGCCCTGGCTGAAAATCAGTGCTGTGTAAACCAAGTTTGCATAGCATATACTGATCTCAGAATCCTCGCTTCACATTTGTGACCATAGTTATAGTTTTTTTGGTTTTAGTTACTATTTATATGTAAGATTTTACGTTTTGTACGTTTTCCGCCTCTAAGGATGGCAAACTACGTGATTAATCCGGTTTCGCGCAATTTCCGGTAACCGATTTCAATAAAACTTAGCAAATAGATATAATTCCATAAACTTTTGAGGTGGGTTTTTTTAGTACTCTGTACTGCGATTATCTGAGTAGATGCATAATTAAAGTAGACCAAACAGGAAAGTAAACGAATAGACGAATCGGGAAAAACAAGTGGATCGGGAAAGTAGACCAATTGTACCGAAGGGTTCTTTTTGTGTGTGTGGCAATTAAATAGAACTTGGATATATAAGAACACTTACGAAATTTCATAATGGAATACGTTCACTTTTTAAACTCTGACTAAAATCGTACGTCTTTTTCAAATAAAACATGTAAAACAGATACGCCATTTTGGTAAGGCTTTACATAATGATATTTCATCATAATCCTATTTAAGTGCCACGTTCCTGTCGGTGTCGCCTCCTCCACTCTTCATGGCTCATAGCCAGCTCTTTCACCTCTTTATAGCTGCTCGCTGATCTTCTTTTTTGTTCACTATACTTCATTCTTGGTCTTACTCTCTTTCTTTTCCCATATCTTCCCCTCAATTATCATTTTCACAAATTCGCCACTATACGTAACGAATGACCAAACATTTTCCCCTTCCTGTTCTCTATCGGGTTCAAAAGTTTTCTTTCTGCCTTAATTTAACGGATCCTTGGAAATTAAACTGCAAAAGAAAACTTCAGAAAAAATGGTCCTTATTATAACATTGCTATGCGACCGTACTCAATTGTTCGTGACACTCTCTACGAAAAAGGAACCGGACGGTTCGACAAAACATACATTATAAACGATAGGTCCTTACAAAATAAAATGCTATTTAAAAGTGAACCCGTCAGGTGGCCGTGATGCACGGCCAGAGAGAGTCATACTCTTTTTCGGTAGTCGGCTCGGTGTTGAAGTCTCAGGTACATTGGGGTCAGGCGTCAGCGTTGTTACAAGAGGAACAGGCAGGGATTCAGGTATATGATAGTGGATGTCTAATGGGAAAAGACGTTGTAATGGCCGTACCTTCTCTCCGGAGGCGGTACGAACCTTTGTCACCCTGCTGTGGCCATCTGCACCTGTATAAATCTCAGTTACGCGAGCAAGAGGCCACAAGATACGCTTTTGATTTTCCTGCTCTACTAGAACAATGTCTCCTACTTGTACTTCTGTAGCACGATGTTGTTTCCCCTTGTGAATTAAGTAGGCGACATACTCGTTGCGAAAATGTCGCCTCAGATCTTCACGAATTCTTTGGCAATATCGAGCTCTCACATTTAGTGACTTATTGTCAACGACATCGATGTCAGGAACGCTATGTTCATTTATTGGCTGAATGAACATTGACGGGGTGAGCGGTCTGTCTTCATTCTCGTCGTTACCTACGTACGTCAGTGGTCTACTGTTTATGATTGCTTCGCAATCGCAAAGAACTGTTTGAAGCTCAAATAGTGTTAAAGAGGCTCTGCCTAGTACTTTGCTGAGCATCTCTTTCATGATACGAACCATGCGCTCATAGAACCTCCCCACCAAGGAGCACCGGGAGGTATGAAGTGCCACTTTAGCCGTTGTACTGTAGAGAATGCTGCGACTATATTCCAATCAACAAATTTCAGAAGATTGTTGAAACCGGTAAAATGTGTTCCATCGTCGCTATAAATTACGTTTACTCTTCCTCGTCGAGTTATAAAACGACGCAGTGTTAAAAAAAAATCATGGGTTGACAAAAACTCTGTGACTTCGAAATGTACTGCACGATATGTTGCACATGTGAAAAGCACTATCCAGCACTTGGCGCCTGTTCTTAAAGTTAACGGACCAGCTAAATCTACACCGCTGACTTCAAATGCTGTACTAGCTTCGATTCGTTCTTTTGGTAGATTTGCTCTAAAAGTTTGTAGTGCCCTTGCTTTGTAAATTTTACATATTTTACAGCTTTTAACCGCTTGTTTTACAACTTTCCTTATTCCCGTAATCCACAGTCTTTCTCTAAGGTTTGCCATTAGCGTCTGTGTTCCAGCGTGTTGCAATTTTTTGTGCCGTTGAACATAAGTCGCCACACTACAATATCCGCACCAGATAAAACAATTGGTGCCTTGAAGTCGTTACTGTCATTCATGAAACCTAGTTTTGTTTCTTATCAACAAATGTTTGCAGTTTGTCGATTTCGTTCCTAGCATTAGCTTGACTGACTCGAAACAACGCCTTTTCTGCATATTCCACCTCTACACAGGTAAATTCGCCGTACGAAAGCACAGTACTTGGCTTGTGTTTCCCTCTAACCATCCAAACGATCATTCTAAGTAACTTAGAATATTGTGAGAAATAATACGTTAATTTACTTAAGAATGTTGATACTTCGACTAACATTATGTTGGTACGAGTTTTCCTTCTAATTCGTTCACTTGACTAGAATCAACGAGAAAATCTGTTGCAGGCCAGTTCTCAGTAACCTTAAGTAACCACTATGGACCTTCCCAATTCGTCAGAATTGCAGTAGGCATCCGTTATCCGACTCTACATGGAAAAGTACCTCTGCTACGTCTCTGAGTGTCGTGAAGAGTGTTTCGTCGTCAATCTCTTTTGCAAGTATTGTAAATTCTCGCCGGAGTTGAATTCTTTTGCGCTTCAATGGATCCATACATCGTTTGTTACGATTGTAGGTTGTATCTCTTCACTGTCGCCACTATTTAACGGATCCTTGAAAATTAAACTGCAAAAGAAAACTTCAGAAAAAATGGTTCTTATTATAACGTTACTATGCGACTGTACTCAATTGTTCGTGACACTTAACCCTTTCAATATTTTTTTCATTCGCCTCAACCATCACATTTGAAATTACTTCAATCTCTCCGTGTCTTTCTTTGTGACAATGTGGATAACATTTTATACGGATAAAATATTTGTTTTATATTACTGAACCAATACTTATTTAATTTACACTGCACAATCAACAATAGAACTAGTAACTCACAGAAAAGCTTCATTATCTTTCTTCTTCTTCTTCTTTTAAATGTTATGGCCCCATCGAAATAATCAATGATTTTGCCAAAGTCAAGTAAAAATAACTATGTACGGTAGTTTAGTATTATTATAAAAATTATACAAAAAAATGGCGATTTCGCCAATGTCCTGTGAGTTTTTTTTTTTTTTTTTTTATCTTTATCTAGCGCAAGTTCGCTCGTGTATGAAGTATCGCTGTCACCTTTGAGACGACTCTGCCAGATACGAGTTAGCTGTCGTAAACTCGGTGAGGCGAAAAGCAAAGAGACTTATTGGCGACGACTACCTTTTGGAATTGAAACTTCGAAAATTTGACCGCTGTTATTTATCGGATATTTGGAATTTTATAATTTACTGTCATCCTCACTATCCTCCTTCGATCGACTAGAAAATCCGGAACACTCCATTCTTATGTTGTTGGTATACCACCTGTAAGTAAAAAGTCTTCCACACACTTTAACAGCAGCAACAACAGAACAACAGCAACTTTGCCTGTTTTGAATGGTAAGGATGCAGGTAACATTACAGGCACATGGGACTTGTCAACTTAAGTTTCAGGGTGACTGACGCAAAGGCAGTGGAACTGCTATGGACAGGCGTCTAGCCTAAGTGTACTAAATACTTAAAGCGTACGGCAAAGAAATGGAATACAGTGTCAGCAACTGTGTTCCCGGTAATAATGGTGATAGCTTCACTAACTTCAAGACTAGAGTATTTTTATACGAACGCTTACCATCGTCGGGTAACCAAGATGTGTCTATTTATCACAATTGAAAACATGCAAAATTACTTTCTCATAAAGATAAAATTTGTATTTATCAAAAGTAATTTCATTCAACCAGCTAAACACCTCTCTCTTTTAATCGACTTCAAAAAAGGCTTCTCAATTCGTCGGTTTCTTTTTGTGTGTATATATTACACGATTACTCGGACATTTACGAACCGATTTCAATGATTCTACTTTTATTCAAAAGAGGATACGTCAATAGTAGTCCTGTTCAAATTTGAAGCAAATATTTCATCTCTAAGTGTATCAAAATAGAACATGAATCCAGTTATTGAATTTCACCCATTTTGCATTAATGAATTTCAATAAAAAACTTGGCACATACATGTAAATTTAAATGAAAATAAAACAGCGGAAAGGGATAAGAAAACTATTCAGCTCGGTTTTTTTAAATAAAAAAATATAATTAATGAAAACTATGGTCGAATAAGCGAACAGCAATGATCTTAAATAGGTACGTAAAAAAAGGGTGAACAGTGTCACAACTAGCGTCCTCTATGATATTTCGTTAAATACTAATACAAAATTTTGCGCCAGCGAGGCAAGGCTCTTTCACAAACTGAGAACTTTGAAAGTAACGCGAGGTACATCGCAAAACAAGCATTGCATCGTCATTCTAAAGATGGCGCTGTATCATAATTCAGGTAGATGTTATCCAAAAAACCTGTAGATAAATTTTTTGGGTCTAGTTTTAACAAAAATTGTTTGTTAAGAATCGATACTACCTCAGCTCCGAATTCAAATTTTTCCCGTACTGAATCAGTTCAATGGCAGAGATACTGACTCCATTTCGAAATTTATTTTTTTACAAACGAAAAGCCATTTGAAAAATGTGTATCGTATACTATACGTGTTCTATTTAGTTCAGTTGACATAAAAAAAAAATTCCCGTACTGAATTAGTTCAATGGCAGAGATACTGACTTCATTTCGAAATTTATTTTTTTTCAAACGAAAAGCCATTTGAAAAATATGTATCGTATACTATACGTGTTCTATTTAGTTCAGTTGATATAAAAAAAATCATTGGTATATGTAAAATACCTATTGAATACAGCGAGGGTTTTTAGGAATCGTATTTTCACACCATAAACTAATCACTATACATCCTCAATTTTACTTTTTTTCCAAATTGATTGATTCATTGACTTACAATGGATTGATTCAACACTTTGACTGTTATGCGAAATTGACCAAAGCCGTTTGAGGTTGTATTGACTCTTAACGTTACATTTAGATTACACCATGTACTCGTAACACGAGTTTTGTTTCTGGGTTATCCATGTCGTTTTCTAATTGGTTATATCATAAAAACATCGAATACTTTATTTCCCTGCAAAAACTTTGCTTTTGTGATCCGGACAACGATAAGTGGGAAACATTATAGTTCAAATCAATAGTATATAATTATACACATTAATGATAAATTACCTAGAAATTATGTAAATGCTATGTAGGTATGTAAATAGGAGCTAGTAAAATACTACTGTGACTGACACTCGGGGAATAGTTTCTTTATAATAACAACTTTTCTACATACCACTGCCCAATTAAACAGAAAGCAATGCTCTCAAATTAGTAACAGTGCCTTTTTAACTGACTTCAAAAAAAGGAGAATGTTCTCAATTCGTCTGTATCACTGATTCGATTCGACGGTATTGTAGTTTTTTGTGTGTGTGTTGCGCTATTACTCTGTTTTGTCGGAAAGAAGGTAGCTAAGTATTATGCCATTTAAATTTAAAGAAAATATTCCACCTACACCTAGAGTCGCAAACTATGGGGTGAATCCTGTTTCACGCATTTTCCGGTAACATTAGCAAACTTTTGAGATCGGTTTGTTTTTAAGTTTTAATTATTTAACGTCACAATCTTGGTAAACCTGAAGTTACATTTTCCTACAGTGCAATATAAGGGCATATTGATTATTTGGTACAAAATCGTGTACAGACACTATTAGTTAATAAGCCCGACTGGGAAGCACATTAGCAAACAATCCAATGGCCTTGACGTTCACATGTTCACTATCACAAAATATTTCGACTTGAAGCGATCAAATGCCAATATCTCACCGAGCGACTGTTTGTTAAAAATGCCGCAGAAATGTTTATGGAGAAAAGCCGCTATTGTTTTTTGAGCACTTCTCAGAATATCATAGACTCCGTCTGACGTATACGTAGATCTTTAGACCTATTTTTCATTTGTGTTATGTATAAAGAGGATACGTTTTGGTCCGACCACGCGGTTGGGTTAGGTATTTCGTACTTTGATTTTCATTCAAATAATATTATAAATACAGTTGTATGTATATTGTTTTGAATAATTATAACTTTTTTACAAAAAAAAACATTCTCCAAAGTTGTCAAGTGTTATTATCATTCAGGGAACTGTGTTCAAATCAACTGCCTCCGTAGCCGAACGGTTACCATGCCGGACTGCCACGCAGAGGTCCCAGGTTCGATTCCCGGGCCGGGAGAAATATTTGTATGGCCTACATTTATTTCTCTCGTGAGTTTGGGTGTAATTTGTGGTTGTCTAATTGTGTGTCCATGGCACCCGCGACACAGGGTTTCCCTAGTGCGGGGCTATGTTGATTGTGAGCGTTATTATTGTGAGCGTTATTGTGAGGGAAGTACTACCAGCTTACCTCTTTTTGCCTCCAGCCGGTAATGTCAACTTTACTGTGTTCCGGTTTTGGAGGGTAAGGGGACTTGTCAACTTAT